GCGTTTTGATTTTAATTTTAATTAATGTCGAGTGAGTCATAACTTTTTGAGATATATTGCATTATTATCACGTAGGAAAATGACAAAAGGCATGGTGTAACGTCGCGAGTGTTGTATAAAGCGTAAATTGCTGTATGATCGTATGCTGATTAGTGCGTAATTACTTTTTTTTGAATGTCAAGTGAATATCATAAAGCAGAAAAAAATAAACGAAAGAAACGAAAAAAATAACTCGTTAAACGCATCGTGCGATGGCGAAACAATCGTGAGTAATTTATAATTTATTTTATTTTATTATATTTATTATTTGTGGATTTAATTATTTGCTTTTATCTTTAATAATAATTTATTAAACCAATGTGAAATATTGAAATATTCTATATGTATATATAAGTATATATATTATAAATATATTCTATATGTATATATAAACTTTAAAATATATAAATGTTAAATAATATTAAAATAAATAAAATATATAAAATAAATAATAATATTAAAATAAATAAAATATATAAATGTTAAATAATATTAAAAAATGTTAAATAATATTAATATACATAAATATAAATAAATATATACATATATATATGTATAAATATTCTTTTATATATGTATACATATATATATTTTTTTTAATATTATGTAAAATTAATAAAGATTAAAATAAAAAAATAGATTTTCGTTTATAGTATTCCATAAAAGTACATATATTTAGAAAAGAATTTAATTGCATAAAATAATTTTCCTAAATCTTAATTATTTACTTTATTACCACTTTGTGTATGACTTGAATTTATTTCTATTCAATTATATTTACTGAATACTATAATTCTGTTGTTCCGCATTGTATCAATGAGAATTAATTAATTTTTATTTCATAAAAAATTTAAGTATCTTATTGTATTTTTATCGTTTATATATACATGTAATCATTTCTGCATAAATCCATTTAATATCTCGGAGTAAATTTAAAATTTGTTCTCCTCTTTAATAATAAATCTCCATTCTACGTGAATTGTGATTCGCGAATCTACCAATTTATTTGCTGTATTGATATTGGTTATATCAAATATAACACGAAAAATTCATTTAGCTCACATGTCCAACAATTTCATATGTATACGATAAAAAATATAATTATTGACTATCACGAAATATTTCTAAATATCTAATTATAATTATATTTATTTCTAATTATGATTATACTTTTTGTTTCTCTTTTTGTCTTTAATCACTTTAATTTTAAAAAGAATAGATTTTTTTTTTATATATTTTTTTATGTATTTTATATATATTTTTTATATATTTTTATATATATTTAAAACCATATTTTTCGCTTTTCATTCACGAAAATTATTGCGTGATTAAACAAAGTTATATTTCTATTTTTTACGTGAGGTAAACAAATTGGGTTCCACAAATATACTAACTTATCTATTTCCCAACCACTCCTTTAACGGTCGAAGAAACAAATAAGAATTTCGAACATTTACGTTTGTTTGTGAAAAGAGAAAATAATTAACATAAATAAATTTTTTTCATATATAAATTTTATATATAAATAATTTTATATAGTTATGATATATATAAACTTTCTCCATCATCTTTGAGAGATCGCGTTTTTCTAATTTTTTTTTAAATCGAAAATGAAAAATTAATATTCAAATCTATAAATTTAATTCAACTTTTGATGTCTCGGTTAGTCTTTACTTATCTAGTTTGGATAATTGCCAATTATATAAATCCACTATCGAGAAAATGAAAAAATGATAAGCAATATATCTATTTTGAAAATAATATATATAAATAATAAATAATTTTAATAAATTACTCACCACATATCTTTCTGGCTGCTTCAGGCTCTGTCTGCTCTCCGACTGTCCAATACTTTTCCAAATGTCCTTCTCCTTTCTTTTTCATTCTTTGCTGCTTCCTCGTAGCGCTGATATTCATTCGCGAACAAACAATTAATTATATTGAACCATGTATAGAAACAATTGCGAGACACTTTTCATAGCACTCCCGATCGCGGAATAATTATGAGAAACGCTCTTTAATATATCGTATAAGGGATGGAGAAGTACGATTCGCTTGACGTTTTTTGAGATCAAATTAAATACTAATTCATTACAAATGTTGTTTTCATTTTTGAAATATACAGCGTGTCCCACCTAGAAATGGCCATCCCCTTTTATCTTTTAAACTAAAAGAGATAGACCATAATAAGTATATATGAAATTAAATGACTTGAACTGAACTTTATTGTGAGTATAGTAATTGATTACAAAATTTATCTGTATTGAAAAATGGAGAAATATGCATAATTTTTTTATAATAATGTAGATATTTTGATAAAATAAAAGTTGTAGCGCTTTGAAATAAATATAACGATGTATGATTTAATGTAAATATTTTACATATTATACGAGATTTTCCGGCTTGAAATATCGCGGGTAATGTCCATCATTTCATTTTCGGTCCTGCGATATAGCCAACTTCTCGTGCATTAGAGGTTGATGTATGTCATGTTGTCATTTAATCATGATACTCAGTCAGAAATTGGCTATATCGCAGGGCCGAAAATGAAATAGTGGACGTCGCCCGCGATATTTCAAGCCGAAAAATCCCATATAATATGTAAAATATTTACATTAAATCATACATCGTTATATTTGTTTCAAACAGCGCTATAACTTTTATTATATCAAAATATCTATATTATTATAAAAAAATTATGCATATCTCTCCGTTTTTCAATACAGATAAATTTTGTAATCAATCACTATACTCACAATAAAGTTCAGTTCGAGTCAGTTAATTTCATATTTGTATGGTGTATCTCCTTTAGTTTGAAAGATAAAAGGGGGTAGCCACTTCTAAGTGGGACACGCTGTATATGCAGTACATGTATATTAATATGAATTATATTATATTATATCATATTATATTTTACATATTTTAATACAGCAAATAATTTGTCGATATTGATCGCGATCGCGTCTAGAAAAGGATTTAACGGAGCGTCTTGTACCACTACTTTGCTCTTTGAGTGTCGTCGCGCGAATAATAATAGAGTCGAACAAATTGGTTCGAAAGACCGTTACTATTATTTTTTTACCGAAACATTTTTCAAGACTATGGCATATAAACATTAGCGCGCTATTGTTTACGCCGCCAAGGTTGGTGTTATTGTTTGTTCGTCATCGAAATATTTTATGTATTTTAACATATGTATATTTTATGTATTTTAACATATGTATACATATATACATGAAATATATTAAAGTATATAGAATTATTGTATTTTAGATTATATAGATTTTTTAATTATATGATTATTTATTAAAAGATTGATGTATCATGGAGTCTTTCATTATGTTAATTGTTTAGATCCACCATTCAATTGTTTTATTGAGCGTCCTCACAATTCGAATTATATTTCATTGAAAAATAAAGTGATAAAACATCGCAGACATTGTATTCAACTCTATAAATATTTACTCTATAAATATTAAAGAAATAATTTCTGCTCGTAAAAATCGATTTTATATCGAAATCATAATTTATTATTTTAGATTTCTATTACTATGATTCTTAGTTGATTAAATGAAGAAATTATGAAATATATGATTCGAGAATTTTCGTCACGATATATATAGATATGAATTACGTGTTATTTATAAAAATAAATTAATCATATTGTTATAATAAATAATTTCCCGATGTTGATCGCGATCGTATATATAGAAAAGAAATTTAACGGCGTATCATTATATTACATATTAGAAAATATGAGGCAATAGAATATGATATTATTACGATTGTTTTATTGCATTTTTTCGAAGTCAAATTTTATAATATATAGTTTTGCATTTTAAAAGACTAACTAAGAACGAACTAAATAAATAAATAAATAATGTTGAGAAAAAAAAAGAAGACACATAAATAAATAAATATATAATATAAGTATATAATATAAATATATAATATAAATAATAGCGTAAAAAGAGAGACATAATAATATTTTTATATAATAAATTATTATTAATTAAATTATTTATATTTTTATTTATATTATTTATATTATCAGAGGGATATAATGTGGCACATGTTTCTTCGCTTGCCGCTACTTTTTAACTTATCTCGTATTTAATATTTATCATGAAATGTATATAAAAGATTAATAATTAATATAAAATCTGAAGCATACTTTTGCCTTTTACGAGCATTATTTTTATTATCTTATACAACATTTTATTTCATATTTTATTTTTGTTTTTCTGTACATTATTTCTATGTATTTTTCCCATACACATATATGTGAATGGATCTTAATAATTTTTAAATAAAAATATAGAATTATATCTAATTAATGTTTGTTCTTTTATATCATTGTAAGAGTATATAAAAACATAAATTTTAAAACTTGATATAAATAAACGTTTACAATGATTTTATTCAAGATAACATATTATAAAGTCATATCTAAATATATATATATATATATATATATATATATATATGTATATATATATATTTAGATATGACTTTACAATATATTATTTTAAATAAGAATGATTTCGAAAAAATGTTTTATATGCAATATTATTACATGATTACAGCAACGTTGCATTTCTTCAAATATATTACATTGCAATATTGCTGCGACATTTCGTTGTAATATTACAAAAAGCGAACATCTTAACGTTGCCGCAATGTTGCAGCAAAGTTTCGCAACCGATTTGCAATATTTCAATGTTTCAATGAAATTATTCTGCAATATATTTGCAATCTTTCTGTGCTGTATGGGAGAAAACAATGAATTATATTTATATTTTGATTAATATATTAATTCATTTTCTTATTGAAACAAATGCATTTTTCAAGTAAAAAACGGCAGGAACTTAGTTACACACCTAATACTACTCATTCAAAAAAGATTACATCTTAAATATATGAATATAATATAATATATTAATATATTAATATATCTTCGATTCTCACTGCTCCGATAAACCTTGCAATTGTTTTTGTATCTGCTCGAATGTCTTGCCTTTGGTTTCAGGTACATAGAAGTATATGAATAAAGCACCAGCGAAACTGCACGCAGTAAATATTCAGAACGGTACATGTATGCCAGCAATATCGGCAATGACTAAATATGATGTTGTCACTACAAAAGCCGCTAAACTTGTTGCTATTAAAACAATCGTGCTGCCAAGTGCCTTCACATGTATAGGAAATATTTCGCTGCGCAAAGTGTACGGTCCGAAGCCAGGCCCAAGGAAAACATGATTATGTATGTGATGACACCTATAGCGGGCAACTAAGTAATGTCTTTGGTATTTATGGTATATGATTGTATTGCAGACTGAAATACGACCATAGCGGTTGACCATGCTGAACCAATGCACGAGATTATCAGCAGTGATTTTCTACCACTGTAATCAGTGATGAACATACAGATGATCGTAAATATCAGTTGTATGATGCCCAACATCATAGTTAAGTATTTGCCCTCCAGATTAATCGTCGAAGATGATTTGAGCATATTGTAGTATTGCTTGATATCCGCTCATTTGTTGAGCCACGTCCATGCACAATAGTATTATTAAAGCTCTGTAAAATCAAGTTTATTGATAAAACGTGGCTAAAATAATAGCTCTGTTATTCTGTATCATTTTAACAATTTCAAATTACTATGAAGTCAAATATCGAATAAAAAATATATAAAAAAATTTTTGTACAAAAATAATAAAATATAATTATTTTATATACAGAAAAGAATGGATTTGTACATAATTACATTACTTGCGAAATGAAGTGCAATAGAAAAGATACATTCGAAAATTTTTATCGATTCATTAATGATCAAGTGTGACGATAAATGGAAATTTAATATCTCACCTGCGATTTCTTCGCACGCATAAAAGTTCTCGAAAATCAGTTTTATCATCTAAACTGGCTTTCACGAACTGTTCGATATTACATGCTTCATTATAAACATCCTCTTTGCCTCTCAATTGAACGAGAGAATTTATGGATTTCTCTTTGGCGTTACGACGCATCAAATAGTATGGAGACTCCGGTAGCCAGATGAAAATAAGCATAAATAGACATGGCGCAATCAAAGACACGAAAGTGAGATTTTGTACCGATAAAAATGGACCTATCACAAACTCCATTAATATGCCGTTCAAAGCGACTATTGACATGGATGTTAAATTACCGCGGATGTGTGGTGGTGAAATTTCGCCCAAATACATCGGCGTGATTGTGAAAGCGATGCATATAGCCAAACCGACTGTAAACTTTGATATATACAGCTCCTATAAAGCAAAAAAAAAATAGGAACTTAAAGAGATTGATCGCGTCAAATTGTTTGTATAGATTAGAATGGAATAGAATTTAAAATTTAATTTAAAATCAACGCGTATATATATTGTGTATTATATTCAGAGAATTTCAAGAAAAGCAAGTGTTATTACATTAATATGCGTTACAAGGATATGCATTTTCTAGACAAACTTAAAACAATAAAGACTATAATAAAAATTCGCTAATTAATAATTTTTAATCTCAAGATGTAAATACAATGTTCTTTTTTAGAATACTTACTGTCAAAGATGTTGCAAAAGCTATCATTAACCAGCTGATTATCGAAGGTACGGGAGTAAATAACATGATATTTTTTCTACCGAAGATATTTATAATGACTGCACAAATAATGGCATCTCCAATTCCACCTAATGCAGGTAAAGATGCAACCCAAGCGACTTCTTGCGGAGTCAGATGAATAGGATATTTTTCATCCTTCCCTTGCATCAATATAGCCAAAGATGGCGACGACCAACCCAAAAATTGGCCAACTGACAGCATGCCCAGATTTCCTTCCAGATAAAATAACATTTCGAATAGGTTTTGAGAAAAACCTTTTTCTTTTTAACTGACATTAATAATGTTAATTTTCTAGAAGAAAATTTTCTTCTATGTAAAATTGATTTATATATTATTATTAAACATTTTTCAACCATAATTTTTTTAAATTTTTTTAAATTAAAAAAACTTTTTTTTTAAATATAATTTTGTATTTTAAATATAATTTTGTATGTATCTAAAAACACATAATTTAAAAAATAACGGAATCGAAGTTCCAGATAGAGATTTTAAATAAATGAATTTATATATTCCGTTATAAAAGATATAATAGGCATATATGTAATAATAATAACAAATAATTATTAGGATAATAAGTAAAATGCATAAAATGTATAGTAATTAAATATAAGCTTTATAAAATTATAAAGAATAACTATTAAGAGAACTGGAAGAATATAAATTAAATATTACACATATACATATAATATCATAGTCATATTAATATAACATCAAATCTTACGTGAATTTCACGGAAAGCAATAGAAACTAATTGTAAAATCATTGAATATGATTGACATTAAAATCTATAGAACTATATTTAATTTTACGTTCATGTGACAATGACAACTACATGTAATACACATCCAACTTCAAGCATTAGTTATTTAAAAAAAATTAATAAAAAGGAAATTTAAATAATTGTAAACATTTATGTGTAATTACAAATTTAATGTAATAATATATGAATATGTAAATGTATTTACATATAATATATTTTTATTTCTCCATGTTTATCTCAATAAATGTATATACGTTACATACCCGCTATGGCAGCAAGATATACTTTCTTCATTTTTACAATATAATCACCAGATAGCACATATGCGTTTCACAAATGTTTCTTCGAAAAGTTTCATAACCGACTCTTGAAAACGGTTAAAATGTTCACTTGAAGAAACATTAAGAGATAAGTTTCTTGTGATAAAAAAACGTTTAGAAACGTTTAAAAAACATTTGAAATACGTCCTTTTCCTTTTATTCGTTTAACGTTTGTTTTTTCATAGAATTATTAAAATAATGCATTTATACACACTCTCTAAAAGTGAATCAGTTTATATTATCAGTGAAAACAGTAAATAGAGTCATTGATACAGCAGTTATGTTATTATAGCACTGTAAATCAATAATATTTCACTGAAAGAATTAGTAATATTGACTATTTTAATCAATAATATTAAATTACAATTCATCTACCTTGTATAAAATTGAACATTTTATTTATATTTACATTCCATTTTTTTCGTACTTATAATTTCGTTATAAGAATTATATAGAGCTTGCAAAAGGCGATAGATAAAATTAAAAGTATAACTTCGATTTAATTTCTGATACAATTTCAATACAGGAATTTTAGACATTGATCGATTTTATTACTCGAACAAATAAATATCCGGCCAATAAATGAAAATAATCCGTTCATGATCCGTTTTATTTAAATAAAATAAATTAATTATCATTTATATATATATATATATATATATATATTTTTTTTTTTATTTGAAATTAATATGAAATTAATTAAAAATTAATTATTAAAATTTAGATTTTATTTTGTCTATAGAAACGTGAAAAATATATTTCCTTAACTATGTTTTTAGAAACGTTTCTTATTAATGCTTTACGGTTAAAAAACATTGGATACATTTAAGAAACATATATAATAAAACGCGTGTAACCTGAACTATTTCTGCTTTAAAACAAATAGATTTGGGTTAGTTTCTATCTTTGCGGAGCCCTCCCATCCCGTAGAGATAATGAAACAAACTGCATTTTCAACTGGAGCATGCGTAGATACAATGCATGCACTTTGCAAGATAAAAGGATTTTATTCTACATAATCTCCAGTTGAAAATGCAGTTTGTGCAGATTTACCCAAATTAAGATCACGGGAACATTGAACATATTTGATAAATAATATAACTTTGTAATAAACAACGAGCGACGGCTGAAACTTTTTGCAAATTAATCAGGGACATGTCCTTGACAACATATGTCAAAGTCATCGAAATTGGCGAATCGCTAATATGTAGTTTTACCCATACATTATTTAACATATATTATATACATTATTTAACATATATTATTCGAATATGTTGATAATAATATAAAGGCAGATTTTGTATTTCATATAATTTAATTATATCAGGATTATTTGACATACTTTTAACTGCATTTATTATTTCAATTTTAACAGAAGCAATAGAAGTCATATTGTATATAATTAAAATTTAACATATGAAAAGTATTTTTTGTTTTTTTATTTAATATTATAAATTAAAACTGATATTATCGATTTAAACATTATATCATTAATGTTCGAGATAAAATTAAAATACATATGTTGATATTTTTTTATATTCTATAACTTCAAAAAATAATTAATGAAATAATAATGAATTAATAATGAATTAAATAATGAATTAATTTTTTTAGTTTTTTAATATTTATTTTAATTTTTAAGATAGGATAATTTCAAAACGTTGCACTATTTATGGGAATACTAAAATGAATATAAATGTTATTGAACTACTACTTCATATAATAGATCCTTTGTTAATAGAAAATAAGAAATTTTGGTGAGGAAATATGTAAATCGATGAATATTGAGGCAATAAATAAGAAAATGCATTTGTAGACAAAAGACTGAATTTCGATAATAAACATTTTGAAAATAGTATTTTAAACAATGACACACATATGAAGAGCGAGGAATAAAATATACGAAGATCAAAAATACTTAATTAAAATATGAAATTGAAAAGTTACACATTTAATGATACAATTGATTAATCTAAATTCTTCTTCACAATGTGGCGTAATATCACAGGATAATGATTTTATAATCGAAAAGTACGCATTCGAAACAAGTAAAGTCTAAAATTCATTTAAAAAATATTGAAATGTACTCTATAAATATATATTAAAAATTGAAATCAACAGAAAACTTAAATCAAAGTTATAATTGTTGTTAATATAAAAACTGCACGAATTTTTGAATCTCAATTAAACTTAAAAACTGAAAAGCTGTTTATAAAATTTAGGAAATACGAAATATTTTTATTATATAAGAACACATAAAATAATTACACTGTAAAAGTTTTCGTAGGTAGTGGTCGTATCTCTTTTGAAAAAGAATAAAGAAATTCTTTTTTGGCTCCCTTTTTTATTCAGAATATGACTCAGTTTTGATAATTTTCCAATTGTTATTTGGTATATATTCCATTTATGATTTATCTTTTTAACTTATACAATTAACATGGCAAATCCGTCCGATTTCGAAAAATATATTTTTCAATAAATTATTTAAGAACACTATACATTTCAAAAAGATTAAAAAATATATCTTTGATTCTCACTGCTTCGATAAACGTTGCAATTCTTTTTGTATCTGTTCTAATGTCTTGCCTTTGGTTTCAGGTACATAAAAGAATATGAATAAAGCCCCAGCGAAATTGCAAGCAGTGAATATCCAGAACGGTACATGTATGCCAGCAATATCGGCAATGATCAAGTATGATGTTATCACGACAAACTCGAAAAAGTCTTTTGTTATTAGAATAATCATGCTGCCAAGTGCTTTCACATTCATAGGAAATATTTCGCTGAGCAAAGTGAACGGTTGCGAAGACAGACCCAAGGCATACATCATTATGTATGTGATGATACCTGTAACGGGCAACCAAGTAATATCTTTGGTATTTATATGATTGTATTGCAAATTGAAAAACGTCGCAACCATGGCGGTCGAGCATGCTGTACCAATACAGGAGATTATCAGCAGTGACCTTCTACCGCTATGATCAGTGATGAACATACAGATGATCGTAAATATCAATTGTACGACGCCCAATATCATAGTCAAGTATTTGCCTTCCAGATTAACATTCATCTGGTCGAAGATTATTTGAGCATAGTTTAATATTGCTTGATAACCACTCATTTTCTGAATTATGCTCAGACACAACATTATTATTAGAGTTCTGTAAAATCAAGTTTATTGATCAAACGTGGCTGAAATAATAGCTCTGTTGTTCTGTATCATCGTAATAATTTGAAATTACTATAAGATCAAATATCGAATAGAAAATATTTAAGAAAATTTTTGTACAAAAATAATAAAATATAATTATTTTATATATAGAAAAGAATGGATTTGTACAAAATTACATTACTTGCGAAATGAAGTGCAATAGAAAAGATATTCTCGAAAATTTTTGTCGATTCATTAATGATCAAGTGTGACGATAAATGGAAATTTAATATCTCACCTGCGATTACTTGGCACGCATAAAAGTTCTCGAAAATCAGTTTGATCATCTAAACTGGCTTTCACGAACTGCTCGATATTACATGCTTCATTATAAACATCCTTTTTGCCTCTCAATTGAACGAGAGAATTTATGGTTTCCTCTTTGGCGTTACAACTCATCAAATAGTATGGAGACTCCGGTAGCCAGATGAAAATAAGCATAAATAGACATGGCGCAATCAAAGACACGAAAGTGAGATTTTGTACCGATAAAAATGGACCTATCACAAACTCCACTAATATACCGATGTTCACAGCGACTATTGACATGCATGTTAAATTACCGCGGATGTGTGGTGGTGAAATTTCGCCCAAATATATCGGCGTGACTGTCAAAGTGATGCCTATAGCCAAACCGGCTGTAAATTTTGATATATACAGCTCCTATAAAGCAAAAAAAAATAGGAACTGTAAAAGAGATTGATCGCGTCAAATTGTTTGTATAGATTAGAATGGAATAGAATTTAAAATTTAATTTAAAATCAACATGTACAGTGGCGTGCAAAAATTTCCGGCCAGTGACATTTCGTATTCTAATTTATTAAAAAAAGAACTTAATGATTTTTGACCATTACAAGATGTGAGCATAAGTTATAGGAAACAAAATAATATAGTAAAAGAATACTGTTTGTGTTCATGAAAATATTTATTATTATAATTATTATATTTATATGTGCAAAAGTTTCCGGCCACTTTGTACTACGAGAAAAATTATTAATACATATATTCTATAATGCACTTCAGTTAATTAAAATTTTATTTTAATGTTAATATTTTGTAGCCATACCCTTTGCAGCGATTACAACTGCACAACGATGTGGCATCGACTGAATTAGACGATTAATATAATCAGGCAGAATTTTATTCCATTCTTCTTTCAACGCTTTGAATAATGCGGCTTTATTTGAATATGTCTGCTTTCGAACTTGACGATCTAGCATATTCCACAAGTGTTCAATTGAATTCAAGTCCGGTGATTGAGATGGCCAGCTTAAAACTCTCACATTTGAAGCAGAAAACCATTGTTTTAACAATTTTGAAGTGTGTTTGGGATCATTATCCTGTTGAAATATCCAATCCTGTGACAATGTTTCTTCAGTATATGTTAACAAATTTTTTTTTTAAATGTCTTTGTAAATAGCAGCGTTCATATTTCCATTAATTTCGACTAATGGACCAACTCCTTGTGAGAGAAAACTCCCCAAACCATCACACTTCCTCCGCCGTGCTTTACAGTAGGAATTTGATACCGAACATCATTTCTGGTACCAATAGGACGTCGTACATGTTGTCTACCATCGCTTCCAAAAAGATTAAATTTAGATTCGTCTGAGAAAGCTATTTTTTTCCAATCTTCGACTGTCCAATTTTGATAATCTTTGGCAAACTGTAATCGGGCCTTCTTATTCTTTTTGTTGATTAATGGTTTTTTAATACCTATACGACCAAAAAGTCCCACATCATGTAGTCTTCGTGTCACAGTACTACGGCTAACATTGGCAAGGTTTTCATCTTGTAGCTCGCGTGCAATTTCGGCAGCAGTTTTCTTGACATCCGCAGTTGATTTGCGTTTAATGATATGATCTACTTTTAGGATGTTTTTCGTGGCCTTCCACTACGCGGACGATCTTTTAAACCATATCCAGCACGATACTTAACAATAATATCATTCACAGTTGATTTACCTATCGATAATATTAAACCAATTTCACGAGAAGACTTTCCGTCTTTTGAAAACTTAATTACTCTCTCACGAATTTGAATTTGCGTATGTCGAGCCATATTATGCTTTGACGACTTTCTACGAACTTAAGTAAAAACATTCAATGCAATACTATTCATAAAAAATTCTTTGGAATCCTACTGCGAGTCAAATATATTACGTGGCCGGAAACTTTTGTACACGTAAACATAACAATTATAATTATAAATACTTTTATGAACACAAATAATATTCTTTCACTATATTATTTTATTTCCTATATGTTATATTAGCACCTGATAATGATTAAAATTTTATTAGGTTTTTTTTTTATAAATTAGAGTGCAAAATGTCACTGGCCAGAAATTTTTGCACGCCACTGTATGTATATTGCGTATTATATTCAAAGAATTTCAAGAAAAGCAAGTGTTATTACATTGATAGGCGTTACAAGGATATTTTCTAAACAAACTTAAAACAATAAAGACTATAATAAAAATTCGCTAATTAATAATTTTTAATCTCAAGATGTAAATACAATGTTCTTTTTTAGAATACTTACTGTCAAAGATGTTGCAAAGGCTATCATCAACCAGCTGATTATCGAAGGTACGACAGTAAATAACATGATATTTTTTCTACCGAAGATATTTATAATGACTGCACAAATAATGGCACCTGCAATTCCACCTAATGTAGGTAAAGATGCAACCCAAGCGGCTTCTTGTGGAGTCAGATGAATAGGATATCCTTCATCCTTCCCTTGCATCAATACAGCCAACGATGGCGACGTCCAACCCAAAAATTGGCCAACTGATAGCATGCCCAGATTTCCTTCCAGATAAAATAACATTTCGAATAAGTTTTGAGAAAAACCTTTTTCTTTTTAACTGACATTAATAATGTTAATTTTCTAGAAGAAAATATTCTTCTATGTAAAATTGATTTATATATTATTATTAAACATTTTTCAACTATAATTTTTAAAACTTTTTTAAATTAAAAAAATTTTTTTTTAAATATAATTTTGTATGTATTTAAAAACACATAATTTAAAAAAATAACGGAATCGAAGTTCCAGATAGAGATTCTAAATAAATGAAAGAATTTATATATTCCGTTATGGAAAATATAATAGGCATACATGTAATAATAACTTAATAAATAATTATTAGGATAATAAGTAAAATGCAGAAAATGTAGTAATCAAATATAAGCTTTACAAAATTATAAAGAATAACTATTAAGAGAACTGGAAGAATATAAATTAAATTATATATACATATAATATCATAGTCATATTAATATAACATCAAATCTTACGTGAATTTCAAACAAAGCAATAGAAACTAATTGTTGCAAAATCACCAAATATGATTAACATTAAAATCTATAGAAATATATTTAATTTTACGTTCATGTGACAATAACAACTACATGTAATACACATCCAGCTTGAAGTATTAGTTATTTAAAAAAATTTAATAAAAAGGAAATTTAAATTATTGTAAACATTTATGTGTAATTATAAATTTAATGTAATAATATATGAATATGTAAATGTAACCAAAATATTTTTAATTCTCCATGTTTATCTCAATAAATGTATATACGTTACGTACCCGCTATGGCAGCAAGATACAGCTTCTTCATTTTTACAATATAATCATCAGATAGCACATATGCGTTTCACAAATGTTTCTTCGAAACGTTTCATAACCGACTGTTGAAAACGGTTAAAATGTTCACTTGAAAAAACGTTAGTGATACGTGTCTTGTGATAAAAAAACGTTTAGAAATGTTTAAAAAAAACATTTGAAATACGTTCTTTTCCTCTTATTCGTTTAACGTTTGTTTTTTTCATAAAATTAATAAAATAATGCATTCATACACATTCTCTAAAATTGAATCAGTTTTTATCAGTGAAAACAGTAAATAGAGTCATTGATACAACAATTATTATAGCACTAAATTAATAATATTTCACTGAAAGAATTAGTAATATTGACTGTTTTATTCAGTAATATTAGATTATTTATCTACCTCGTATGCAATTAAAAATTTTATTTATATTTACGTACATATTAAACATGCATCTTATTAAATAGATGATGATTTATTTTACTGAAATAGATAATGAACGGATCATTTTCGTTTATTGGCTGGACATTTACTTGTCCGACTTACAAAATCGATTAATATCTAAAGTTTCTCTATTGAAATTGTATCAGAAATTAAATCGAAGTTGTACTTTTAATTTTATCTGTCGCCCTTTGCAAGCTTTATATAATTCTTAAGAAATATTGAGTACGAAAAAAAATAGCGATAAATGAATGAACTAGCGATTACTGATTTTACAGTGAAATTTTACTTCCACTGACTATAATTAGTGAAATATAAGATAAAATAATAAGAAATAAGCGTTTCTACTGAAGATCGTTGAAATACTGATTCTTAGTGATTCTTAGTAATCTTATTCATATATTTGTAGCAATTAATATAGTTTTCGTAATTATGTATATGTATATATATATATAATTACCTCTCTCTCTCTCTCTCTCTCTCACACACACACCACACGCGCGCGCACACGCACACACATACTCGATAATACCTTTTAGTTTGAGATTATTATATTCTTGTATTCTTAAATTTATAAAACCTCTATATATACTACTATACTCTCTAAAAGTGAATCAGTAAAAATATCAACTAATTTAAACAGTAAAATAAGATTTCACTGCGAATCAGTGAGTATTTTACTGATCTTCAATGGAAACGCTTATTTTTTTGTTATTTTATCTTATATCTCACTGATTATGGTCAGTTAAAATAAAATTCACTGTAAAATCAGTAAATTTTACTGTAAAACCAGTAATCGCTAGTTCGTTCATTTACCGCTACAATCGCTATCTCTCTCGTATTTAATTTTAGTTATAAGAATTCTATAAAGTTTGCAAAAGAGCGATATTTAAAATTAGAAGTATTACTTCGATTTAATTTCTGATATAAGCTCAATAGAGAGGCTTCAGATATTAAATCGATCTTTATAAGTCGGACAAATAAATGTCTGGCGACTTAATGAAAATTATTTGTTCGTTATCTATTTAAAATAACAAGTTCAATATGCATGTATATAAATAAAATAAAATTTTAATATAATAAATATTTAGTAAATATAAATAAAGTTTTTAATTTTATATGAAATAGATAGAGAGATGAATTATAGTTAAATATTATTGCAATAACGAGAGAAATATTACTGATATTGAGAAATATTACTGATTGAAGCAAAATTATTAACTGATTCTTTCAATAAATATCATTATTTACAGTGCTGTACTTATAACTGCTGTAATCAGTGACTATTTACTGTTTTTCAGTGATAATACACTGATTCACTTTGAGAGAGTAGATGTATTTAACTCTTCGTGACTTAACTATGAATAAATTCTGATTTATGATAGAATTATTATTTCTTTTCTCTACCGCTCTCATTTCCTGAATCCCGAGATCGCGCAGGGTCCCGTTCCGAGTAAAAGAGATTAAATTTTCTTACCATAAAGGAGCCGACAAGCGTATATAGACCTAGGATACTCACAGAGTTAAAGGAAACATTTCAGTCATTGATCTGTGCCAGGCCCCTAACGTGCGCTCGATCCGTACACATGCCCGAAAAAGTGTGTCACCGGATAAGTAGGTTGCGTCCTTCAGATGGCCTGACTTTCAAGGTTTGGACTTAACAATTATCATTTGTTTTTTTTTTAATTCTTAACATTTCTACAAGAATTTCCGATTTCAATAAAACAAGAAAAAAGTATAAATTGCCATGTCTTTTGAAGTAATTAAATTTTATTATATTGATTTATTATCATTTAACGAAATAATTTTTGACTTTTATTTAAAAAATTCTTGATTTTCATTATGTCACATAATTTTATTTCTTCCTAAAGATCAAATTTTGACATAAAGTGATACACACGAGGGATTTATATATTTTATAAATTTTTTGCAGTATCAAAATATATCAAACAGTGATAATTTCACAGATTGTATATCGATAAATATATAATGTGTTAATAACATGCGAACATTTGATAAATAATCTTACACAAACACACACTATATGTAATAATATCTATCTATGCTTTAATATTATAACATATATCGAAATTATCATGTAGAATAAAATTCAAAACCGTTTTATTCATGAAAATCAATTTATAATAAATGAATAATATACAAGCTTTTTAAATTAAATATTAATAAATGCGCACTCATTACAAGATGTCAATCCTTGAAAAGTGCACGGAACATATTGTTCTATTCATTTTATTTGATATAAAACAATCTTGATATCTAATTAATTTCATTTAAATGTGTTTTTATCATCTTTTATTTTATATTTACAAGAAATCATCATAATTTTAAAATAATATAGTTACAAAAGAGTAAATTAAGATAACTTTTTAAACGTTATCTTTTAAAAGAAAATAAACTAATATTTGGAATAAGAAGATGAAAATATTGCTTATTAGATTAAATATTGAATTTATTCGATAATTTATACCTTTGCTTCTCTTTTCTTTACTTAACGTTATTTATTATTTGTTATAGTTATAAGATGATTAATGCATACGACTACCTGTTGATTCTGCGTGTACGTGACTACCTGTTAAGTCTTTATGCACGTAACAATCTGTTGATCTTCTGCGCATGTAACCAATCGTTGATCCATTACGAAAACATGGTTGCCCCTGGTCTTCAAGTATTTATACATTCCTGGCATCTCCATCACAAAGAATTAAATTTGGATATATTAATATAATATAATGAATAATGAAATATTAATTTATTATTAATTTATTACTCCTATTCATTAGTTGGAAAATGATATTAAGGTGACTATATGATCCTTACGCTAGTATTTCCACTTTCAAAAAATATTTACAGCGAGTCACAAGCCAAAAAACAAATACATTTTAAAATTTGTTACAAATTAATTAAGATTAAAATAAATGGAATAAACTGAAATATTAAGATTAATTATTATAGAGACACATTAACGTAACGATATACTATAAACATATAAAAGTCAATAAAAATTAGTCCAGAAAATTTGGTCAGTTTTAACTCCTGATCAGTTTCTGTCAAAAAATTATAGTCAGTTTATTTCAAAATAATTATAATTAATTTAAAAATTGACTAAAATCTAATAGACTAGAGTCAAACAACAGACGGCATCGAAAGATGTTACAAATTATTTGTAAAGACAAATATTGAATAATATATTTATAATACTTATACATTATTATCTTTAATTACTATATTATTTATTTACAAGAAATATTTTATTTTGTAATTTATTACTTTCAAAATTAATTCATAAATTATAATTACGAATATAAAAAATGTGTATGTCTATATTATATACAATTACTGTTCAGTCGCATTCAGAAATTTCAGATATTTGCAACTATTTCTATTATAACTATTTCTTCGATTGTAATAAATGAGCCAGCATTTCACACGTTATCCTTTGGTACAATCCATTGTATTCCTCCACCTAGAATATAATAGAAATTAATTATCAGGAATACAACTTATTATGTTACATATTATTTTCTTTAATTTTTCTTTTTTACTTGTCACAAAAATTTAAATATCGATAATAAAATCTTATATTGAGCAGCATAATCTTCCGTTTAGCCTATCAAATTTAGTGCAGAATTTATTTCTGTCATTGTAATTTTCGATAAAATATAGATTATATTCTCTTTTCTATAGATTATATTTTTCGATAAAATATAGATTATATTCTCTTTTAAAGAATAGTTCTTCGATAATGTTATAGTTCGTCGCGTGTTGTTCCACCTTGACTAACGATAATTGTTTATGACCTTCATCCCTAAAATTTACAATTTTTGCACAGCGTAAATTTTCCTTGTCATATTTTTTAACATGTTTCTCTATCTGTCACGAAAACTATTAGCACATATATATTACAAAATTATTTGTAAGAAATATTAAAGTTAAAAATATAAATAAATTTAATAAAATTTAAAATAATGTTTATTCGAGAATTAAGAAGGAGAATTTTAAATATCAAGAACTATACATTATAATACATAATTATACATAACAATTCCAAATGTTATAGCAGTATAGATGACATTTTCCAAAAATTTAACGATGTATAAAATTTCTGTAATTTATGGAATTGTGTGAAAAAAGAATATATCTCAAATTTATTTCAATTGTAAAATCTAAAATTGCAATTATTAATATAACATCCTTTCTTCTATTTAATACTTTAACATCAATTAAATCTTACTTATATTAACTTGTTGTATATTTGAAACAAACAGTATCGATTGTTACAAGAGCTGCATTGATCAAATCCGTATCCTTTGTGATAACTCCATCAAGATCCGCACTTATGCGATGTACACAATAATGAACATATCCTTGGATAACAAATTGAGAAAACTTTACAAGTATCCGTTTGATTCAAAGCAAGAGCTACCTTGGCATTTTGCGAAAAGTAATCATGCCCATTGGATGATCATATGACAATCTGTTGGATGATTGGACTAATAAACTCAATAAAATTGATCGTGACTTTTTTACAGACATCACTTAAATGCAATCAGACAGAAATAAACAAATTAAAAAAGATTGACAGCAATTTATTTCGCGTAATATTG